CTATAAATAGCCGACCGGGGGGAAATCCCGGACATTTTTAGATTTTTAAAAATCCCCCCCGGACAGCTATTTATAGACCGAAAAGCCAGACATGTCCGGGGAAATCCGGACATATGGTAGCCCTAATGTAACTGTAAAGTGCAGTATGCAGTCACACTGCCTAGCTTAATCTGCAGTGAATATACAGTATGGCACCAATGAGTAGCAACCAGTAGCAGCCCTGCCACATTCATTATACAGTAAAGTAAAGCAATCAGTGAGCAACCATCAGCCATGACTCATTCACAAAGCAGTTGCTGGAAGGTGCAGTAACTAGTAAATAGCCCTGCCACATTCATTATACAGTAAAGTAAAGCAATCAGTGAGCAACCATTAGCCATGATTCATTCACAGAGCAGTAGCTGGAAGGTGCAGTAACTAGTAGCCCTGCAACATTCACCATACTTAACTATAGTGAAGTCAGGTGCTAAGGAGTCACTCCCCTTAGGCATCTCTGCAGGAGAAGGGATACATTGATTCTGCTCTCCTACAAAGTTCCTAAGCTCCTTTAGCATCTAGATGCTCTTGCACTGAATAAGGCCGGTCTCTTTATATTTAATTTACTCTTAAACTACCAAGGTGTGGTGCAGCCCTATTTCCTTTCGAATGTGGAGACACCTATTAAAAACTTCAGTCACTGCATCAAATAAACCTACTATACATGTTCCAATGCTGGTTTTCAAATCCTTCTAACTCAGCCAAACCAAAACCAATTTTCACTGGGATACAGCAAACACCTCTATTGCCCAAGGGCTATTTCCCTGCCAAATTATAGCCTTTTGCACCATCCCACTTTGACACTAGCCAGACAATCCCAAAGTCACAAATACATATAAATATGATATTTTTATATATCGAATGTGATAGATCAAGCATTAGCACAATCTAATCCTAATCCATGGAGTCACGGGGGACAGTGCTTTGGAGGACAGCCAGTCCTATCTTCCACCTCTGCCCCCTAAAATTCTAGGGAACCCATTTCAAGCAAAATGCATCTATACGTTTCTGTGGAGTAGGAGAAGTGGTACAGAGGCAGCATTCCACCCATTCCAGACCAATGGGATTATCTGACCACTAAAGGGATGCTCTGGCCAAAATTGTTAGCTCATGCTTTTTTAATATATATCATTATGCAGCTAATGCACCTCTCATTACATACACCACTGGGAAGTCATTAACTTAGAGAGGGCTTTCTTGGGTAAAGCTTAGTGATTTTTATAAATATATAAAACAAACCAATCTTATTTGAAAAGGGGAGATTCCACAAATAGGCAATTCAAGACTTGATGTTTTTAGTAATATTACAATCCCCCTGTCCTTTGGGTATTCAGTTTCAAATTTAAGTGCAGAAAAAGTAATCAGACATGATATGAGAGTTTTATTCCATGGGAATTGGCATATGCCCCCAAAGGGCATTCATTACCACCTCAATTACTTCACCTCTGAAGTATTCATAGCCATATCAAGCACTGTACACACACACACGAATTACATATTAGACCAGCCATTTTCTCTCTTTGGCCCTAGGGATCCAAGCAATGGGCTGTTTTGAGCCATTTTACATAAGTTATCTGGAATTCCATAGCCCTGGTTCCAGACAGGTCTGGACTAACTATTGGATGGGTTTGAGATCCAAAAGTTTGATGTACAAAATCTTGTTTGGGCTAAGAGAAATAAACTGGCAACAGATTTAGCTTCTAGCCTGGCGGGCAAGTATAAGAATATTAGGATGGAAGAATAGATCTTCAAGACAGGTCTAGTCCCTGTGGGTTTCTGCTCACAGGAATTAGATTTTCCACAAGGAGTTAGAATGCTTGCAGTTGCATTAGCAGCATACTACCTTAGAAAGGTGAGAAATAACAGGCTGTAGTTGATTTGCCAACAACTTCAGTTTTAAGAGAAGCCTAGGTTTTATTAGAAGCATTGGCTCAAGAAAGCAACCAAGTATGGAGTTAGAAGACTCTGGATTCCCAGCCTGTTTTTAATATGAAAGGCTCTGTGTGAGAGAGAAGCAGGCTCCTGAAAGGGAACAGATTACTGCAGTTAACTGAAAACCCAAGAGTCAAATTCCTCAGTTTAGGAATATAGGGTGAATTAGGCCTTTTGGGGTCAGCCTGGTGGTTGGCAAACATAATTTAGCCACGTGATTGGCCTGGAGAGAGGGTGAGGTTCCCAAGCACTAGGTGATATTTGGTGAAGAAAGGATGTGTGGGTGGAAGAACCAAGACAGCTGCAGTCAGTGAATCGAGTGAAGCAATTATAACATCAGTAGGAATGTATGCAGGGGCTCTGAAACTTCAGAACTGCCAAGGTAGGGCATGCATTAGGGAAACTTGAGTAAGGAGAAAATGCTAGCAAGTTTTCTGGAAAGCTTCATTTAAGATAATGGCATTTCCTTGTAGATGGGGAGATATATAGGGAGGTGGACTGCAGAAATACTGGTGGTGGTGTGACAAGGGAGTTGGATGTGATCTGTGATTAAACCAAAGCCCTGACAACATGAAAACAAATTGCAGTCCTACTTTAGCCTGCAGGTATGGAGGTGACTAAGGACCTACAGATATTCTGTTTAGAATTCATAGCTAGTTTTACATATTGAATCACCAGCTCCCATTTTCTTTTCCTGTAAGTAAAAGACTGGATTGTTCTCATACATATAACCCCTTACTTTAGGTTAAAAAATAAATAAATCCATCTCCCTCCCAGCTTTCTTCTGCCAGTGTGTGAGCAGACAGTGCTTCTCTCCCCACCCCCACCCTCCCTCTCACTCTCCCTAAAAGAAGGATAATACCAGCAGGCATGTCTAACATAGAGCAATTTGTTTGGGTTTCAGTTCTCTAACAGGAATTACATGATTGGTTTCATTCAGTCCTCCAGAAACAACCATTGGAGGCCTGTGCCCACACCACAGAACTCCATAGATAGAGAGGATGTAAACCCCAGAGATCCCTGCCTCGAGTGCAGAGAATGGGGAATATTTTTCTCCATTGCAGCATTCTATCCTGCTTCCACAGGAACTGCACCATCCATTTGGGGTTTTGCATATGGGGAGGAGGCAGGTAACATTCCCCTTACCAATGCCACAGAAAACACGCACCGTCTCCACACAGTGTGGAGCACCACATGTCCTGATGTCACACAGAGGAAGGTCTGAGCTGCATCAGCATTGCACTGGAACACTATGGAGGAAACTCCTCAAGGTGAACCTTCCAGAGTTTGCAGCCCCCTGTGCAGGCTTCCCAGCTATCACAGGAAAGACTGACATTGCCCCAGTGAGATACAATGCTCTGTACAATGCAAATATCAATACACTTTCCATATGATCACAGTTGTCATAGGGCAGATTGGACTTTCATGTGTAGTTCAGGAGATGAGAACTCTGACCGACTCATGATCCAGGAGTTTTAAAGTGATCTTCCTAAGTGTGGAGGTCCCTGTTTCTCCTTGTGAAATTCTCCTCTCCTTCCCAATCCTTGTATTAATGTTTATAGTAAACTGTATTATTGTATCAGCTCCTCTTGTGACAAGCAGATTTTGGCCCATTCATACTATGCATTCATTTTTAACCCCCCTTCTTCTCATCTTGAAGTTTGTAATACAGAACAATTAGAGTGTCAGATCCGTCATGTCCCCTTTTATTTATGCAGCTAACGCAGACATAAAGCAACTTTGCACAGCTGCTTAGGATAGAATACTGTTGCTTGAAACACATAAAAATTACAATTTCTAGGTTCCCATGAAATTCCAATCATTAGTGGTAACATGTATTTTCAGTTTTAAAATCAAACACAAATCTTTCTGAAGAAAAGTAAGTTTTGCAAGGATTGTATTTTACACTCACCCTTTAATAGATTCTAGGGTTTTTTTTCTCTCTGGGCAGAAGGCAATAATTTCTTGATCATTCTTAAAAAAATTAAATAAAGCACAGCTATTTTGTCCAGAGATTTAACATATTACTGTACATTTTGAAAAATATTAGCGATGGGCCCAAGACAAAGCTTGGATCCAGAGCCTAATGTTCCCAGAGGGTGTTCTGCTCCAAAGCTTTTGTTCAGGCCCATCTCTTCCTCTGGACAAGAATATGTTGAAAGCAATACTGCCAAATACATATCCTATTTTGAAAAGTTAACTATTACATGCTAGATGGGATAGAGTGAAGTAATTTTTTTCCCATTATGTTTTTGCTAACCCTCTTTCATTTCACTTAATGAAACAGCTAAAACTATAGTCAGTGTCTCACTTCGATACTCAAACACAGTGGAATTTTGCTGATGCTGGTTTCTAAACTGCAGGGGAATGTCATTGAGTTGCAACTGGAAAAGACTAAGTTCTTTCCTAACTTACATTCAGGTAACTATTGAAGTCTCCTTAGTATCTCATTGAATACACAGGTGTAACAGAGGGCAAAATTTGGCCCACTGGGCACAATCCTGCATGCATTAATTTCTGTGGGAGGAGGAGTAAGCCCACTTTATGCAGAGATTAAGTCAAAGCATTCATTCATGAGCTCAAAAATACGGGGAAAGGAATGAGGAAGGAAGAAGAGTTTTAAAATCTAAATTGAAAAAGTGATACAGTCAGTGTGATAGAGAAAAGGTTGTTCAAGATAGCAGGATTTGAAGGGAAAAGGCCTCACATGAGCTATGGTGAGGTTTTGGGAAGGCAATTTTTGGAAGAAAAGACACCCTCCTGTTCATGTTATATAGTGGTAACCTCATGCTGAAAAGAGAGAGGTGTTTGTTTGTTTTTTAAATTACACCAAAACTGAGTTCTTGTATAACAGGATTCATGTGTCATGACCAGCAATAACTAAACTAGACTTGATTTTACCTGGAGAAAATTGAAGAGCATGTTTTAAACCCCAAACTAAATGGAGAGCTTTCATTGGAAACATAGGTAGACTCAGTGTAACTGTGCTGCTCTATTTTTACGTCTCTTCTTTTTTTGTATTTATCTTCCAGAGTGGATCACTTAAGGAACCAGAGCCAAACAAAATCCCACCTCAGCGACCACCACCTCAAGGTTGTTTACAGTATATTCTCGACTGTAATGGCGTTGCAGTAGGACCAAAACAAGTCCAGGCTACTTAAATAATTGACAGTAAAAGCAGGGGTTAAAGCCAAAAACCAACCTTAAAAGCAAACATACCAGTTTATGTGCAGTTTTTGCATTGTTTCAGTGCTGACCTGGACTGTGTTTTTTCTATGCAGTGTCAACTATACTGTCTGGTTGTTTACCTGTTCATGTCTGTGCTTGTAATGCTTACCTATGTTTCTCTGTATAACTTGTGATTTCAGGGCTGTTGTCAACAGTGTACAAAGAATTGTGCCTCTACAGAGTCCAGTGCGACTGTATATTATGGATGGTTAGACAGTATTTTTTAAGTATTATATATTGTGGGGTAAACAACAACCCAGGTTCAGATTTAAATACTTTTGCTTAACTCTGTGAGTGTGTGCGTGTGATAGTCGTAATTTTATTTTTGCATGACTAACATTGATAGGTGATTCAGATAGATATTCTACAAGATATAATTTAACATATTTGTTGATTGAGGCTTTTTTAAAATAATTTTATAAAGTTTGTTAATATTTGAATTTTATTTATAGGTAAGATGTAGAACTCTAGTGTTTTAGTGATTCCATAAAACAAGAGACTTCTTCCCAGGAACATTTAAATATCCTGTATTTTACATACTGGTGTTCATATTTTTAATTAATTCTGCATTAAATTATTAGCTACAAAGCTATGTAAATGGGCCACCTACGTGCAATATCTCAGTGAAAATGTGAGTATTTAATGTATCTCAGTTCAATTAAGTAGTTTCTTTTGTTGTGGTTCTGAATTAGTCATTTGTGGTTTCTACAAAAACCCAAGACAAATGTTACCCCAAAATTCTTTACCTAGCTAAAAAGGTTAAACTAATCTCACGGTGTTTGGTGGGAAGTGTCTGCAGGATTATTGAGCCCCCTGAAATGTCTTGTTTGCTAAATATCGGGACTTCAACTGGTATCATTCTGCATAGTTCCACTGACTTCAATAGAGCTGGGTTGATTTACACCAGCTAAGGCTCTGTCCCATTAACTGTAACATGAAACAAATAGATAAGTAATTTACTTCCTCATCTCAGTGCCACTATTTTCACTGAAATATCAGGATAGACATTAAATAATTCTATCCCAGGATTAACCACAAAACAGGGCCTTATCTTTATTCATAACTCAAAATGCAAAAAGACCTGAGAGGTTTGACTTTTGCCAGACTTTCTATAGCCATAATTGCTTATGACTTTCACATAACCAATTTACTCTTCAATATCACAAGCAATATCCAGGCAGGCCATTGAACTGTTATGAGATATCTAGCCTAGGAACACAACCTGCACTATTCTAGCATACTGTAAAACTTAGTTGTAAGCAAGGCACAGCACTGTATTTTGTCATTTAGACAAAGACAAATAGTGGTCACTAGCTTAATACAAACAAGATTGTTTTCCTTAAAAAAAAAAAATTATGTTCTACTTTTAATTTTCCCTACAAACACTGCAAAAAAAATAACAACAAAAAAAACAACTCAGCATTGTGAGCTTTCTTAATTGTAAAAGCAGGCTGGCAAGATGAGAATTTATATATGCATTATTAGCTATTTAAATGTTAATGGTGAATGCTATTGTTTACTGACGATCAGTAAATTACATGAAATTTTGCTTTAGTGATCTATGTTTTTCTGGATCAATGATCTTTCTGATGACGACATTGGCTATTTTTGTTGTGTATGGAGAAAACACGCTTAAGATCAGGTTCACAAATTCTTACCTTCAGATATCATAGATGAGAATAAAGCATACTACCCTGGGGTGAAGAAATGAATCTGTTAACCAAGTGATTTTTATTTAAAGCAGTAGGTGTTGTTTTGCATGTAGTAGTGTGAGTAATCACAAGTGCTTTTCATGTGACATTTGTGAGTTGTATGTGCAGAGTGCAAAGAAAAGATTTGCATTTCAGGTAGGACTTCAGCTTGTTGATTGTAAAAGTTAGAGGGGCACATACCTATTACTTCATACCACAGAGAAGCAGCAAGTCAAAATGTCTCTGCATGCAAGCATGCTTAGGTGCAAGTTTGTGAGTAACAGGGAACAGATGTTTTACAGTGTAGGATTAATGTTCAGATTTTATTTATTTCTTTATTTGGTAAAAGTTTCTTTCATGATTGTTGCCTTTTTGTACAACCCAGCTGCAAGAAAGTGAGCAAATGCTGGAAGTGTGATTGCAGTATATCTTTTATGTGAAATATCTTGTACAGCTTAATGTGCAATAAAAGAAAGTTACATCTGTCTTCAGTGTAAAGTTTCTGGCATTCAAGCCACTATCTGTAAGTGGGAGGAGGAGGGGAATATTTGTTTTCCAGTACTGAGTGAAGGGAGGCTAATAAGTAAATGAGTATCGTTAAGATGTTGCAAGACTGTTACCACTTTTGAGGTTTCCTAAAAAAGTCATAAAAATTTACAAAAGTCCCATTCCCTAGTATTAAGGAGATGTTCCTTACCTTTCTACAACACAAAATATTGAATAATCCTAGTTGTGGCAAACTTTTTGAAGCACTAGTATGTTCTGTTCTTCCACACACACAATCTTATACAGTAAGTGGAAAACTAGCCATGGCTATTTGTCTATTTAAAAAGAAAGCTAATGGCATATTGTGCTGATACCATTTCTTCCAGATATAGAAGTGTTTTCTTTTCTGAGGACTAAAAAGAGGATGAGAGATCTTACACAGACATTAAATCTCTTTGTAAGAGGACTTAAATTCTGACATTTTCAAAACAGCTAGATTAATAGGCTTGTCTAATGTTCATGGTCCATTCTGCACAGATCCTGACTGAAAGATTCTTTAATCAAATCTATCAAAAAGTTTTGTCTCTGTCCCTGCCTCCGTTTCATTCAGATGTGCTATATGAGCTATGTGACATGTGAGGGTAACGATTCTGCTGTAACTGCTAATTCATCAAAAGCGTCCCAGTGAAAACCACATGTAGACACCTGACACTACATAAAGTGCACTGCCTCCTGACTGAGATCTGACTGAGTACATTTTCAGTCAGGAAGCCTCAAAACCAACAGTCTGATGATACAGCATCTTTTCAAAAGCCTGCTGATCAGCTCTGTCATGGATTTCACAATTTAGGTTTCTGCCTCATATGCTATTCCCATACTTTTTATAATGCTGTTCTATTTGCCAGCTCATAGTCTAGTCAGTAAAAGCAAAAACTCAGACTCCTTGGTCACTAAGAATAAATTAGTGATGACTTTTTCAGGTCTCTCTGTATTCTGTTCTTAGATATTTCACTACAAAATCTAATAAATTACCAGAAGTCTCCAGTCAGTGTCATTTTAAAGTTATTTTACTGCTGTAAAGGTAACCTGTAAATGGAATAATATAAGCAACTATGGAGATAATGTTAAAGCTTTGGCTCTTCAACAGTACTGTAGTAACATCACATAAAAACAATAGATGAATCAGCTGCACTGGTGAACTATCAGAATATAGCTAAACCACTCACTGAACCAGACCAGATTTATCCCAGGGATGTTTGGCTATTTGGATCTCATAGTAATTTTAGGGCTGGAGTGTAAAGGTGGTATAAGGAATGTATTAATGTATCAGTTGTGGTAAATAATACTGACTATACTAAGTTGGTGGTCCATATTAGCAGAATATTGTCTCAACACAGAATTTGACAGATTCCAGGATTATTTTTTAAGTGTTGGATATAAAATATAATATAGGTTCTTTGATACTGTAACATTATGAAGTTTTTCTTGTACTGAACTTAGGGGGCCCAGTACAACCCCAAGGAACGCAATCACAAAGCCAGGAGCCATTGCAACCACAGCGCATGTTCCCCCCGGGGCAGTCAGCAAAGCCCTCAACTTCCCAGCCACAGCGTCCACCTGGCCCTACAACTCAACAACCACATGCCCAGGGTCAAGGTATTTCCAGCGCCGGGTTATCAATGGAAGTGGAGCCAGAGCCACAACCTGCTCCACAGCAGAAACCTCAGTCTCATCCACAGCTTAAGTAAGATATTTGTTTCTCTCCCTCCCCCGCCATATAATTGTATTTTGTTTCCATCACAGTAGCTTGGGTGCCTGTCTAATATATAGCAGCAAAGCAGAACATGTGCTTTTGACTGTAAAAAGAGGTCAATTCAGGGAGTCATACCCACATCCTAAATGCTGTAAATGCAGAATTTCATATAATACCTGCACATTTTCAGCTCAAACCAAGGTTGGTTTGAGGAGGCATCATCCTCTCATTTCTTTTTTTCTCCTTTTTTATATCATTGACTCATGATTTGCATGCACTGTGAGTAAAGCTGCACAGAAAAAAGGAAGTCTTATCTGTTTAAACTTTTAACCTTGCAATCACTCAGACAGCTAAAGATTTCAGTTTCAAAAGGCCTATATGAAAAATAATCCAAATTAACATTCTACACAGATGCAATAGTTAGTAAGATGGGTTTCTTTGCAATACTGTTTCTTTCAAGGTTATACACTGCTGCTTGAACATACAGTACAGGTAACTCAAACAAACCATCTCCCTTACAGAAACAGTCTGAAACCTAACCAAGGTTTTCCTGACATTCTTTTTAAATAGTTATTATATACACATGATTTTCTAACTCTCCCCATTAATTTGTACCTCTGCTCCCAATTTACATCTAAATAGATTTATAGTTTTCCTTTCCAAGATATATCCAGTTTTCTCTCATCAAATATAACTTTTAAAAGGCAATTAGTTTTTAGTTGGCAAGATTTCAAAACTAGAGATATAGTATGGCATTAACCCTGTCAGGGGTAAAATTAGTTTATGCAACTTTCCAAGAAGCAACTTTACTCCAAACAGATTTCAGTACATAATAAAATGCCTTGCCTTTGGGATTAACTGTACTGTAGATATTTGCATGTGCGTGCTTTGTAGTCACCCACAAACTGTTGCCTAACATGTGCATGCAAGTTATTAATCTGTGAATAAATATTTAATTAGGCCATTTATTTTGTGTTACTAATCAAGTCAATTGCTGCTTCACCTCCCTCATTCCACCTTTCATTAGTGCAAACACAAATGTTTATCAGTCATTAATCCATCTATAATGTATTAAAAGCCTGAAATGTATGCAGCACTGCTTGTTTTAGAGGTGGATAAGTTGCAAGCCACAGAGTATGAGCCAATATGAAATAGAGAAGTGTATTGCTGCTGTATCACAGCCAAATATCAATCTCCTACTGAATTCTATTTGAGATCTGATAAGATAAACACTTGACAGAGTTCATTTCATTCCCAAAAAGTTAATTATCTTTACTAATTAAGCAATGGATACTTTTTTGAAAGGCTTACACATTTAGGGTGTTTTAGATAGATAGATATGATGTTTTGCTTTAAATTTAAGCTACCCTTTTAAAAAGTTATTCCACTTGAAGTTCTATGAATTGGACACAGTTTTAAACTTCAAACTTTATCCTTCATGTATGCTAAAGTATATTTTATTCACTATTTCACAGAGACTTATGCTATAGTTAGTGTTAACACCACAAAAAAGAAAAAGACAACATACAATAGAACCTCAGAGTTACAAAGACCTCAAGAATGGAGGTTGTTCATAACTCTAAACAGTTTGTAACTCTGAACAAAACGTTATGGTTGCTCTTTCAAACATTTACAACTGAACATTGACTTAATACTGCTTTGAAACTTTATTATGCAGAAGAAAAATGCTTCTTTTAACCATTTTAATTTAAATAAAACAAACACAGTACTTCTGGTTCCAAATGAGGTGTGTGGTTGACTAGTCAGTTCGTACCTCTGGTGTTCGTATCTCTGAGATTCTACTGCAGTTAGGCTAATTGCTTGCAGTAAATACATAAGCACTGACAGATTGTGGGGGTTTTTTTAAATCAAGTGCATTCACAAAACAGAAGTTTCATCAAGTCACAATTAAGAATTAAACATCCAATAAATCATCAGACGAGATTACAATTTTAGGGCTCAATTCTTCAAATGTACTGACATGCCTCTTTCTCCTTGTGTCAATAAATGTTTGCAGCCTTAAGGAACGTAATTGTGCCTTATTGATACTCATCTTGAATTCAGGTTTCCCTGGCTTTGAATTTGACTTAATAGGCCCAATTCTTCTTTACTCCAGTTTTATGCACTAGGAGCTACTGAAATTAATGGGATTACTGTTGGGGGAATAAAATGTGAAACGGGAATCATGCTCAATATTCCTCTCATTTCTGTTTTGTTGGTGATTTAGTATCCTTTCGATTCATACAATAATATAAGCTGTTTTATTATTAAGCAACCTATTCTATTAAGTATAGTTGATATAGCCTACTTCTCAGACTAAAGTATAGAGAGAAAGTGCTGTATTCAGCGGTTCTATATGCTGTACTTGACTCTGTTTGTCTCTGCTTGTCCATCTTTGTTTGAACATGTAAGTTGTTTTCCATCCCATAAATGCTTCTCCTGTTTACACAGCATATAGTTTGTATGGATATAGTATATGTACATATGGAAGCTGACTACAATGTGAATACCAACCATGTTGCTTTTGTCTTGCAGCAAATCACAGTCTTTGACAAATGCCTTCAGTTTCACAGAATCATCCTTCTTTCGATCATCCGTGAACGAGGATGAAGCAAAAGCTGAAACCATCCGAAACTTGAGGAAGTCCTTTGCTAGCCTTTTTTCTGATTAGCCATTTGAAGATCAGTTTCATGCAGTTGCATATGGCATATAGACTAGAACCTACAGTGAATATTATTTAGTATTTATATCCCCGTGACCCATCCTCCATTACTGTTCCAAGCAATATGTTAATCTTTAAAAAGGTCTATGAGGAGATACAATTCAGGTACACTGTATAAAATCTATATAATATGAGAGGAAAAGCTATATTAGTAGTAGTACAAAATGCTTAATTTTATGGTCTTTGTCACTTGTAACATTGTGGCCTTACTATGACTGCACTATATCATCCTATTGGATACTCCTTTGTGGAATTGTTGTAATAAAGCATTGTGTTATGGGTTTCCCCTTGTTTTACCCATCTCCAGTGCTTTGCAATGCATGTTTATGTTATGAGTGAATGTTTTGTACTGCAAGGATATAGTCTTAACCTGACTTGTTCTTGCCTCAGATTGTTATGAGGCAAATCATATTCATGTTTCCTGTTGTCAAGCCACTTTACTGTTGTGAGAAATTAAAGCAGTTTTTTTCCTCCTTTGACAACCTTTCCATCAACCAACTATAGAGTTCTGATGTATTTGCTGAGAGTTATCACTAGGCTAAAACAGTGATGTCATGAATAGAGTATGTGTATGTACTATTGTATCCTCATAGGTCTATTGAACATTTATTTCCTATTGTTAATTTAATAGTGATCTCTGAGTTGTAAAGTAACATGCATGGCCTAATAATGTTACCAATATTTTTCTGTACCCCTTCTAATAAATGCAAAGCCCTGTGCTTGGTAAAGAGAAGCTTTGAAGAACACTGATTTCAGCAATTAGGTGTACCATGTTTTGACTTTAGTTGTCCATTAGGGTGACCAGACAGCAAGTATGAAAAATCGGGACAGGGGGTGGGGGGTAATAGGAGCCTATATAAGTAAAAGACCCAAAAATCGGGACTGTCCCTATAAAATTGGGACATCTGGTCACCGTATTGTCCATCTGTGTTTGTAAAATATTTGGACAACTAGGTCATTGCCATCAGAAACTAACATGTCAAATTATCAGTTAATCATGAACCAAGAGAAACAATGTGGTAAAAGTACAACTCACAGGAATGGAGCTTAGTTTTTCTAAGAGATTATGCATATTGAAAATATTGCTCTGACTTGCTGTAACAGAAGTGGTCCTACATATTGGGATAACAGCAGCATTTCTAAATGTTCAAGTCAATCTGAAGCAGATTAAATCATGTCTAGATGAGCACTAGTCCAAGTTAGCACTGTGCTCCTCTCTAAAACAAGTTACATACAACAGAGTGTTCCGTGGCAGGGAACATGTGTGTTTCCTTTCCCTTGTTTGTCCTGATGTAACGTTAACACTTAAGAAGGGAAATAAGTGTCAGATGGTTTCCTTTTTTCCCAGAAAAAACAAGGTACTTGCTTCCAGATCCTCAAGCTCCTATTTTTTCATGTTCATATAAAATTAGGCTTAATACCACAAGGGTTAGAATCAGCAAAAAGATTCAGACAGATTTAGATATACCTGGCCAAAGGTACATCCCATCCCAAACATAACCCCGCTTACTCCAGTTACATTAGGGAAGGATTTGGCTCACCATGCACATATTTAGGGAACTGAAGTTATAATTCTAGAGTTATAATGTTATCACAAAGTATAGGGCTTTATATAAAAGTATCTATCTAGCTCCTTGCTTACTTGTGACCTGGGAGAGTAGAAGAAGAAGGGACCACTGCAATGGTAGTTTGATTAGTCTGGGTAAACTGTGTATTATACTCCGAGCTCTCTGCAGCTGCATAGGCCAAAAACTGACTGGTAAGATGCTCTATACTCTTTAGCAAAGATTATTGGTTACCACACTGACTCTTATTGTATACCAGCATCTTCCTAAATGATTTACATTTGGCCTCTTAGTGTCACTGGCTATTAAATTATTAATGAAAAGAAGGGTTCCTTAAAAACTACAGATCTGAGGAGTGTTCTAACATCTACTGTTGTACAAGGAAATGTACAAGGAAAGCAATAAATACAGGATTTTTAGGGGGTTGTTTTGTTTTTTTTAGTTAACTCTCCACATCACCCTCAAATGAAGGTGGCAGATAGAATCTACTTAAATAGATTTGTTCTAGACTTCAATTAGTATTACCCACTGATGTGGGTTCACATCAGATCTGCTCTCACTTCTGTTATAGACTTAGAAAAAACATAATAAAAGTGTGAATTAAAAAACAGAAAAAAACCATATATGCATCAGCTACATCCTTCAGATGCCAGAAACTTAACAGGCGCAGCTTTTCCTGACTTCATACAACTGAGGGACCATTTTCAGGCTAAAGTCAGGTAGGCAGCGGGTGAAGAAAATGGGAAAGTGTCTGCTAACCTACAGAGAAAGAATAGTGAAAAGACTTAAAAATATATAATCAAGATTTAATCCTATTATTTGTCCATTACCCAAAATGTGACAGGCACTTACACAAATAAAATAGACAAGCTTCATATTCTTGTGCATCCTTCCTTGAAATACAATTCATTTTCCTAAAGAAAATGGAGTATAATGTCAGCCCAAGAAGATGTAAGCTGTTTTGTTCATTATCTGTATTATGATACCACGTAAAGGCCCCAACAGAGATCAGGGCCCATTGTGCTGTACACACATCCAGTAAGAGACAGTCCTTACTCTGGAAAGCTTACAAGTAATATTAACCCAATTTTTACAAATAACGAACCATTTGTCACTATTTTTAAAAATTAAATTAGGAGGTGCTCGAATACTATAGCAAAGATGGCCAACAAAGTACCTAGATATATTTACAGGCAGTTTAGGGGTTTAAGTAAGTAAAGTATCAGATGGGTAGCTGTGTTAGTCTGGATCTGTAGAAAGCAACAGAGAGTCCCACTTCGTCAGACGCATTCACCCACGAAACCTTATGCTCCAATATATCTGTTAGTCTTAAAGGTGCCACGGGACACTCTGTTGCTTTTTAAGTAAGTAAGTAAGTAAGTAAGTTTCTCAATTATCAAAGTATCCATTGTAAAGCTAGGATACAAATGTATAAAGGTTCTCATTTGCCCCAAAGCAGTGATTATTTTGTTCTTACTTTGTGTAGTTGTTAAAAAGGAAAATTTACAAGCTATTAGCATTTTGCTATTGCTTTGCCATAGTCTTGCGTAAAACGAAGTTCATTTACTTGAAAGTGTTTATGGATTCTGTAACAGATTTTAGAGGCTTGAGTTTTATTAGCTCTCTGAGTTTATATCTCCTACCAACCTAAAACAACAATTTATGAAGTGTACATAAAGCACAGATTTGGCCTCCCATGTTATTGAGATTGTCAGCAGATCTAAGCCTCTTCAACAATACTGGACTTCTTTTTAGTGAGTGATCCTGTTCGGAGCTTGGTAATGAGATTAGATATGGAGACTTGTATCTCTAATTCACTAAGTTTTTACCTATAAAAAGTGTTATTGGACAGCTGTTTATTCATCAATGTAAAATGATTTGGTGATCTTAGTACGCACAGCAGCTGTCTGCATCACAGTTGGCACCCTATTTGGATTCTCAGCTAAGGACTGACTGGCTATGGAAAGCTGAACTACCATGCTCCCTTCAAATCAATGTTGAAACATGTTAGTGGGGAAGTTCGAACTACTTCTGCTAATATACTAGCTAGCGTGAATGTATAGCACTGCATTTTGCTGGATTGAATGGCAGACCTGATCAAGTGTCTTGTGTAGTGGCAACAGAACTCAAAGAATAGAAGCCCTAATGCTAAAAGAGTGGCGATTTCCCTTTACTTCAAGGGGCATGCACTTAGGAAGCAGAAAGCCTCTAGTTCTTTCCCTTTTTCTGTGGGTCATGAATTCTGTGTACTAGTTCTGTGGCTAAGTAGAGGGCTTCAGTTTCCTTGCTACTGGTCAAGCACCTTTCTCCACCACATAGCTGCTCTTTTTAATTAGCCCAATCAAATATAACACCTACAACTTTGCATTTGTTTTGTATTTATTGAACTAAACACCCTTCATTATGCTGCAGTAGTACCAGTTATATGGTACTTTATGAAACACTTTAAAATCTTTGTAATCAATCTAAAAATAAAATTACTAAAGCAAATTAATTACTGCTACAGAGAAAAGTATAGTCATTAAGCATATTTTGGCATTATGCATAATTAGCATCTGTCTAGTTTCAAAAGTGTGTATGTAATACAATATGCATTACAGAGCTCATTAGGTCAGGCCTCACCTTTCTGCTTGAGGCAAAGTTTCACACTCTCATAAAATTCCCTGCCATACTGTACTTGGTTAAAACCAGTTTCCCCACAGGCTGTGTTTTACTTTCTGGAAAAAATGGTGAAACAATCAACTCTGCACAGTGTATCCTCCCACACAGAGTACATACCAGATCACCACTCCACAGTGCAAAAGTTTCTTTATATCTCTGACTGTACCGATGCATTTCACATGCAAGTTGATACATGCCTATGCTCTAGATGTAGAGTTTCAGGTTTAAAGAGATTTTGTTTTATAGAGCGATCTGTAAAACCCTCTAAACAAGACAAAACCAAAAAACTAATGGTGTAAGTTGTTTATAAAATCAGTTCAGTCACTTACCATATTGTCCTATAAGTCATTAGTATTACCTCACTAAACAGCTTGAGCTTTGAATTGAGATACAAGTTGCCAGCTCCAAATTTAAAGACCCAGTTACCCAATACGTTGCTATCTAGGTTTGTACAGTGGCACCCACCACAGTAGAGCGACAGTAGGCCAGCAGTTGCACAACATTGAGCCACCTGGGCAAACTACCCAAGAACCCAAGGGCTGCAACTAATTTGCATAAAAGTTAGTAATGGAGCCAATTGCAGATATGGTCATTTTTACCATGGAGTTTATGAAGCCAGTTGGTCCCAATATACACTGCTCCATTTTACTCCAAGTGGCAGTCCTTTTCACCTTTCAAACAAACAAACACAATACAAAATCTTAGAGTAGGATTTATAAAATTTATTCTGAAGACTGGAATGGACCTACTTCCTCACCGTTAAGTTCTGAGCCACTGCAATGTATTTAAGCAGTTTTATAATAATAGATTATAATTATGTACCAAGAAAACAGATTAACTTTGAAGAAGTAATTTCTCTCTCCAGTAAAGATAGTGAACATAGTGTTAAAGTGTTTTTCAAAAGGCACATATTACTCCCCACACACACACACACCAAAAGAAAAGAGGAAATACCTCCTGTGCAGTCCTGCCGGCCAATTCTGTCTCAATGAGTGGTCACACACAGTAGAAAAATCCTTATAAAGCCCAGTTAGAAAAAGTTGCAGGAGCAGGAGCAGGTTTTGATTCTGGGTATCGTTTAACTTTTCTGCACCAAAAAACAACTCCAGAAGTGATTACTAATTAGACCATATTATAAACTAGACGTTTGCTATGTTATTCTAAAAAAGGCAATGAGTTTTGAGTTATGGAATGCTAACATGTTTCCAACACGGAAACTTTATAATACTTACTTAATTTTTTAAACTAGCCAAAAGTTTTTCTAAAGAAGCTAACTTATGAAATCTTGGGTCAATATTTTCAAAGATAAGTGCCTAAAATTAGGCTTCTAAATCCATATTTAATGAGCTAATAAGTGGCCAGATTTTCAAAACTGCTGCACGCTTTCTTCTGTTCTATGCTTCCCCCTAA